TGCTGGAACTGCTGCACCAAGAGATGTGTGGGTACAAGAAAGGATCCAGCAATGGTGGGACCGTGACGTGGATGGATATACAGATGAGCAGTTTGTAGAGAACTTCAGAATGTCAGAACTTCAGCGCTTGCATATAAACAAAAAGCCACATGAATTCCGATCTGAGCGTTCACATTCAGTCGGCATGGCCGCAAATCGGATACGTATGAGATTTAGTACCACATATGAAAGTGACACAAATCTGATTTGAAAAGATCAGATTTGCGTGTCCACACAGCCCTGAAAAGATCAGATCTGTGTCACATTATGGCAAAAAATCCGATTTGAGTCACTTCAGCATGGCAGTGTGAACGTAGCCTCAATGTTTTAGCGAAACTTTAAACCCCTGTGCTTAGCAAATTTCATCACCAGCAAAACTATAAAAAAATAACGCTACTTATGCAAACATACCACGGTGTACAGAATGAAGGTATGCGACATTTCAGATCAGCTAACTGTTGCATTCCTTACGATATGAGAATTGCATGTGCATGACCTGTGAAGATGCCCATTATACACGTGACGGCTATGATGCGTAAGTGAACACGTTGCAATCGAGTACAGACGCAGACTGGTCTGCTTCCAGCCCAAGTAGCGAGCCGGCTGTTAGCCCTCCGCCCCCGGGACCCGGCTCACCTCATACATGATGGTGTTGAGGTTCTGCTGTCCGCTGCTGTGCTTGCTCTTGCTGCTCTCTTTCCGCTGCTCCTTCAGGTCGGCCAGGAGCTGGTACACCTGTGAGCAGGAGCATATTAGTGTGCAAAGCAAAAAACGCCGTCATCTGGGTTTTTGAAGAACTCGCTGGGTGCATACCTCATAATTGCTGAGTAGAGCGGCATTGGCATCCTTCCTGAAAGACAATCAGGGTGGCATCAGGACAGGCGGGCACTGTGCCGTTCAAGCACGTCCATCTGTAAGCAGGCGTGGCTCACGAGATGCAGCCTACAATCAAACTGCTCTTCCCTAGACAGGACTGCTGAGCGACACGGAAATATCGCCCTTACACGAATGCTGCATTGTTCCTGTCCTTTTACCCACAAGTGTTTGGACTCAGCATTGGTTTCACTCATAGGCTGTATAATTCTGAGGGTGTCGCAGTATGAAACTGCACTGCAATAGAGCATCAGGGCCCAGAGGGAACTTCTGGCTGGCTCTCAGAACAAACTCCGAACCCAGAAAAAGCCCGAGCAGCCTTATCCTCAGCTCAGTGCCAAAAGATGCTTCCAGGACATTTACCCGCAAATACAAATGTGATACCTTGCAAATGCATACACAAGTTTCCAATTCATGCTTCAGAGAAAACTCTATTGGGGTCTCATCATCAAACCCAACTGAACCAATACCGTTTTATGGGCAATTTGAGCCATACAGAGCACCAAATCCTGGGAGCCAGGGACAAATCACTCTGGTCTCATTTGCACTGAGATTTTGGGCTGTATTTTAAACACCACAGACCCTGCTGCCTATTATGAAAGAAAGACATTTATAGAAAACGTGACCCATTTAACAGTTTATACATAGTCTGGCCTGTCATCAATGTACTAAATGACCCGTTATTGTTATAAAATAATCATTGCGTCATCGAGGCCAGTTTGCCACCAAAGTTGCGACGCCTCCTAGCGGTCAATGTCCCTCATCTCTTTTTAGTAGCGTCATAAATAAGAGAAAACAAAGCAAACAAAACCAAGTACGGCGTGTTATATTAAACTAACAACGACTAAAATAAAACTTATTTATCATTACAGACTAAAAACTGTTACTACCTCAACGCAGCTAATAAAAATATTAAATCCACGCAGATCGCTTATACGTGCTAAATACTGGTGAAATTAAGGGTTACCATTCATTGAATGATCCATTATGAAAAAAATGTTTCACAACTAACTGTACAAAAGATAATTAAAAGCATTTTGTTCTGCGTTAAGTACCAATATTAAGTGTAAATAAAACGGTGCCAGCTACAGTACGACGAGGGGAGCTGCGGCTACCGAATAATGCAACGTAAACCACCAATAAAACGCACAAATCACACTTAAATGTCGTATATATATCCTGAATAACTAAATGATATGTATATGTTTAAAACTAAATAATTCCTAGCATACAATAGAGAAGCTAATCTGGCTATATTTTTAATGCCGGTCAGCCACTCAACCATGAAGTTGTGCACTACTCCCAAACAGCGGCCGCTCGGCAGAGAGAGGCCGGTGCACAGGTGCCCAGGGGCGGCCTTCAGCACGCAGGCAGAGCCGCTAGCGGGGATCTCGAACTTACACCTCCATCCGGAAGCCTCTCCACTCCACTCGGTCCGTCACTCTTTACCTTCCGGAGGCGCATAAGCGCTTCTCAGGAGTTTATAGTTCCTACGGTATTTCATACGTCACTGTGCCGTTTTATTCAACACGCTTATTATTCAATAAGTTTAATGAACTACAGTAACATGCTTCAGCTTTTATGAGCCGCGATACGTATGCTAACCTTGCGAAAGGCAAATGTCTGCTTTGTTGGACAGAAAACTATAAAAACTTTTTCAACGTTATTGTCATTTCTGTAAACCTGCTGTCACGACTGTCCCTTTAACATAGGAGTCATGAAAATCTGGCAAAACCTGATCCAGCATTTTGTGCTGTTTATTTTTAATGAAGGCTGTGGCGCTACATACTGAATTATGATTCATTGCGTAAATAAGGCCACTTAAAATTAATAAATTGTTTTACATGGCCGCCCGCCTCAATTTTTTGGTGCCGCTTCGATTTTTTTTATATTTTATATTTTTCAAAAAATCCGTTTTTTCACCTCAAAAACTGTCAGAGATCGTCAATACGCACGCGCGCCATCTACCGTTAGTTTAACCAACTAACGGTGGTCGTTTGAAATCAACGGAATAAACTGTTGAGAGTTTAAAATGTTGAGATACTGACAAATTAAAGTTTAATTTTCTAGTTTTAGTATATCTCTGTTGCCGTTCGTCTTTTCGCTAAAAATATAAAATCCCCTACTCACCAATATTTTAGAAGTTTGAGTCATGTAAAACAATTTATTAATTTTAAGTGGCCTAAACAGGTACTCGCAGAGAGACTGCTGTCCTAGCTGCTCTTCCTTGGATACATCCACATGCAGAAAGTACAGATAATCCTACCGAGCCTCTGATATTCTCTATAGTCGTGTCTTTGTCATAAACAGCTTAAACAATGTTTTTACTGCCCACCAACGAGACACAAAATTGACTGCATTGTCTAATGGCCATGAATTTTGTTGAAGCTTCAATACCTTTGATTTGGCTTTGAGACGAAAGGTGGAGGGTTACAGTACAGACTTCCCTGTGCTCTTTGAGGGTGTGGGTGATGTATCCTCTCTGTATGCATTTACCCTGGGTGGACACCATGGAGCTGGAAGCAGGGCTGCATGGATGCTCCCTCAGACCACCCCCCCCAAAAAAATAAATAAAAATCTTGTCTGTTGCCAGGAGATATTTCTCGTTTTTTTGACTTGGGGTGAGCTCCTCTAATAGTAGGAAGTTCATTTTGAAATGTGATACAATTCAATTCGATGGTTTGTATGCCGAAAGTCTCTAACTGAGGTGTCCTAGCTCATACGCAGTCCCTGTCTGGGGGTGTACTCCACCTCACTGGCCATTCCTGGGAGAAGCCCCACCTTCCCACGGCTACACCACAAACAAATAGGTAATGAAAATGGACGAGTGGATCTATACAAATCAATTTGCCAGCATGTAAGCGTATGTGTCCGTATGGATGTGCGCTTTAGTGATGCAGACAGCCATCTTTACAAATGCATTTATACCACAGCATCCATCTATGGATTGATTTTCTCACTTAGCTGGATGCAATAACGAACTACGCGGGATGTGATCCCAGCGTTTCCACTAATAAACAGATGCTGTTTGTCTTACTCTGGTTGGAATGGTTATGAAAGCAATTTGTATCTCTATGATACCACTTTTAGCTTCTCTTTTTTAATGAGCTGCATCTACCTAATTACTGGCTTCAATAAAAGTGTGAAGGCCAAACAACTGCAGAGCCAAACAAACTTTACTCAGAAAGAAGGAGTGAGGGTGAAGATTATAGATAAAATGGCCATAAAATGCTGCCGACCTCTGCCCTAGCCCATTACAGATTAGAGAGCGCAGTCTTCTAATTCACGCACCTACTGATTTGTTTATTTGTCACATTGCATCGTAAAGGACTAGTGCTGCCACCTGGAGGAAAGATGGGAAGTGAGGTTAGATTGGGCCCCACGCAGCATTACAGTGAAAAGCAACTGTAACCAGGGGAGTTTCTAGCTATTGAAAAGATTAGAGGCTAAGTCAAGTTTACCTGGGGCTTGACTTGTTTTGTTTTTGAAGGAGGATTGGCATCGGGCTTAGATTCTAAGCAGAAGTATCAACCATAAGGCTTTAGGTCTCTTGACAGCTAGGGGAGTTGCTGTATGCCATGTAAACTCAGTTCCACACCTCTTACTTCTGAAGATAAACACAAACCTCCATGTCGCCTTTTCTGTTTGCTTGTTGTTCTGCCCCCCCCCCCCC